CGCAACCACTGAAGGCTCGACCAAGTGGGAGGGGACTAAGGAGCGAGCTGAACTCCGCGAGGTTCCTGGTGGCCGAGTGTGCAGAGCGGGGTGCGGGCGTGTGGGTGTGTGCACGAGCATGGACCAGAGCGACACACACTCACACGCCCGCACCCACACAGGGCCCTCGGCTGCGCCACCCGTGCCTCCCTGCACTTCACCCTCCAGCCCAGATCCTCCTGGTCTCGCCTCCCGTCGATGCAGCGGGAGTCAGTCTGGGGAAACTTTCTCAGACTTGTTTGGTGCTGGGACTAAATGCATCCGAGCTCAGGGCAAGCTCCACGGAGGTTCCTGGCGGCCAAGGGTGCAGAGCTGGAGTGAGGGTGTGTGGGTGTGTGCATGAGTGTGGACCCAAGCAACACACACTCACATGCCCGCACCCACACAGGGCCCTCCACCTCGCCACCCAGCTTCCCTGGACTTCACCCTCCAGCCCGGATCCTCCAGGTCCCGTGCCAGGAGGTCGCTCTAGTTCAGCAAGAGTTTGCGATTTGCCCAAGGCGCATTGAACAGTTTTCTCTTAACCCGTTTGTGGGAGTGTAATCTGATTTAAAACCAATGGACTAAACAAACAGAAGCACTTTATGGAAAGTCAATTTAGAAATGTGGATCAAAACTCAAGTGAATTAGCTTTGGGCCAGGAGTTCATGTCTATGAATGTGTCCTAAGTAAACAGTCAAATAAGCAACTATGTTTACTGTAGTGGTTGATGCCCGGGGAAACCGGGAACAACCAGCCCCACAATAAAGGGTTAGTGAAGTAAACCATAGTAATGTCAAACAGTCAGGGATAACACTGTAGCCACTAAAAATTATGTCTGTACATCCAATTTGTTGACATGAAAAGAAGGCCATAGCCAAATATTCAGTGGAGGGCAGGGGAAGCTCAGAAGAGGGCATGTTTACATATATGTATGTATATTTTATATGTCAGGGAAATAATAGTATTAAAAGCAGTGATTCTTCCTGAGCTCTGCAATTGTGAGTGTTAGCAAATTGTGTTTCAGGTGTGACTGGTGTCCTTTGGTGTTCCATACATACAGACATCCTTGCCTGTGGGACAGCCTGAACCTTTGCCGCACCTGCCCCTCTCTGCTGCGGAAACGGCCCAATCAGACATTCCCTTTTATTGGGCTGGTTTCCTTTTCTCCTTTGCCGAAACCACACCTTTCAAACAAAAGAATATTAACCAAGCAATCCTAACAACAAGTTTTGTTGCCGACTGCAACTTATGCCCTTTTACGTAAATGTTGTTTTCAGGCCTACCAGGTTGTATTTCAAAACTTTTATTTTTCTGCAACTTGACCATTTTTTTATTCGCTTAAAATCTGGAGTATTTTAAATACATATAGAAAAGTACAGAATAATATGACAAATACTTATCTATACTAATAACAGGGTAATATACTAATTAGACTGAACGTCATCTGGACATCCTTCCAGAAAAAGCCACGGTGGCAGGGGCCAAGGCAGAGGCGGTTAGGGGTGACCAGGCTGACTGAGGAGGGCAGTTAGGAGCGACCAGGCAGGCAGATAGGTGAGCAGTTAGGAGCCAGCGGTCCCAGATTATGAGAGGGCTGTCTGACTGCCGGAGGGACCCGCGCCGCCCTGCACGAATTTTGTGCACTGGGCCTCTAGAAAATACACACACACACACACACACACACACACACACACACATATATACACATATTACTACAAAAATTATTTAATCATATATATATATATATATATATATGATTAAATAATTTTTAAAATGCAAAGCGGTGATTGCTGGTGGGGAGGGGTAGTAGAGGGAGGTGGAGGAGGGTATAGAGGGGGATAAATGGTGATGAACAGAGACTTGACTTGGGGTGATGAACACACAATACAGTGTACAGATGTGTTGTGGACTTGTGTATGTGGAATTGGTATAATTTTGTTAACCAGTGTCCCCCCAATAAATAAAAAGGACAAAAATAAAATAAAATGCAAAGGAATAACAAATTGTTGGGTTGTGTAATGACTTAGCAGTTTTCATTATAAATAAAACAATCAATTAACTTAAGTATAAAACTAAATAAATAAGTCACATCTGAACAAAGAATGACATTGTGTTATGAACCTAAGAGCTATGATTAAACAATTCTGTAAATCCAAGCCCCTAACCCATCAACAAAAAATAGAAGGAAAAATAAAAGAAAAAGGCAGGGGAGCTGGTAGAGGAAATTGAAATAAAAAATAAAGATAATACCAAGAATCATTTGCAGGTTTTGATTAAAGTAAGGCTAGTATGCATTCATTTAAATCATTGAAACATTTTTGGCATGTTGAAATTCCAGAGTCTGTCAGAAAAAAAAAGACATAATCAAAATAATTTTCAAAACAACATTTCTTATACTTACTGCTAAAAGTTTATCTCCAATCTGAAGTTTACCATCCTTATGTGCTGCACCTCCTTCAATTATTTTGGTTACATAGATGCTATTATCCCCAGGAATATGTTGATTTCCAACACCTCCAGCAATGCTGAACCCAAGACCTGTTTGGAAAACACTAGTCTTAGAATCTCATCAACAAATGTGAACTAAAGTCCAGAAAGAAATGGATGGAAAACAGAAGGTGATAACTTCACACTATGTTTTTAAAATAGAAAATAATTTATTTACCTGCTTTTAAATTCCTAAATATTTGTTCTCAATCAGGGGACAACTGTAATTATAAGTGCTCCTGTTACAAATAAGTTCCTCTGTCTCCCCCTCCCAGGTTATGTCTTAAAGTCTCTTTGTAAATGAATTAGTTGGTTAGCTCAAAGAGACATTGTAAAATTATGTTTCACTTTTGTTTCGAACTTAACTGCTTCTTACTAACACTTTTAATACCTTCAGGAGATTAAAACAATTAAGAAAAAAAATAATAAAATTGTCTGCTGGTGATGGGCAGAATAAGCTTCAGAAATGTGAATATTTTTCCAATATTCTATGAATTAATTTTAAATAATGCATTTATGGAACTCATAAATCTCATAGCTTAGTACCAAACAAATTTGTAGCTCTCTATTCCTTATTTTGTTCATTGGAGTACCACCTCTTCCATGAATCACAAATTAGAATCAATATTTCTATTTATCCTTAATTCCATCCATGTTTTCAAAATTCAGAAATCAAATCTTAATAGTCCTCATTGCAGATGAACTGCTAATGATACAATCATATTTTCTTCTTTTAACTTAGTCTTTGTACTTGCATTTAACATACTATGGATTAAAGATTACAAGTTAATATCCACACTATACATTACTTCAAAGTATTTAAGTAGAAGTCTACTTAAGACAAAAATCAGTAGAAATAGTAGAAATTCTAAAAATTCAGGTAAATTCTGTACGTTCCCAGTATTGTTAATCTTAGAATGTGTCATAAATAACTTCGTAGTTATACTTAATTTGTCTTAGTATGATTTATGTATACCTTTAGGACCTTTAATGAGCTTTATTTCCATTATTTTTTCTGATACTGGTTTCCGTCTTTTAACATATAAGCGTACGATAGACCCGGCTTCTTTCAAAGCTTCAACTGCTTTGCTATGTGTTACATCACGAACATCTACTTCATTTACTCGCAATATACAGTCATTGACCCTGAGGAAAAATAAAAATTAAGTATTAAAAATTTAAATATCAATTTTTCATTTTGCCAATTTTTTGTTGGCCTTTTCATTTTTAAGGTAAAGAGAATTATTTGCTAGAGAAAATATAAGTGAAGAAATTGCATGTTTAATTACAATGTATCAAATACTCATATTAATAAACACAAACATTTCCCAATGGCCAACAAAAGAAACAGTACAAATAATAGATTATACAAAAATATTGAATAATAACAACTGCAATTTGTATGCTTATTATGTGTAAGCTTAATACTTTAGAAAAATAGCAAATATTTATTTAGCATTAACCACATGCCAATTACTTCTTTTAGTGCTTAATTTAACTCTTATTAGGTACATATTTATATCATTAATTTACAGAAGATAATAAGGCACAAAGAGCTTAAATAATTTTCCCAAGGCCACTCAGATAATGACCAACAGGGATGTCATTCAAAGATAAAAAAACTGAGGCTCAGAATGAATATCTAGCTTAAGGTCACAGAGATAGTAAGTGACAAAACTGAGATTTATCCCAAAATATTTTTTGATTGCCTTTTCCAAATTAGATACTGGATTTAAAAAAAATAAAGTTATTTGTTGAGATTTATAAAAGTTCAAGGTTATATACTATTTAGTATATTAATTAAAAGGTTATAATGTAAATAACTTAATAACAAAGTCTTTTTTTAAAGTCTGATTCATTCCTAGTTCTAATTTTTTGCCCTAGCTCTCGTCTCATTTTGGGGGTTGGGAGAGAAGAGGAAGATGGTCATTTAAAGTTGGGTGGGAAAGGGGAACAAAACATAATTAAAATATTAATAATTGATCCTGATAAGATTCTATATCCAATTAACTTTAATATTTAGAGAAAAGATAACCAATGGACACAAGACACTGGGGAGGTGGGGTGAGGGCATGTGCTGGGGGGTAGGGGAGGCCGGGGGAAGGTCAATGGGGGGGAATAAAAAAAAGGAGACATATGTACTATTATCTGTAATACCTTAAACAATAAAATAAAATATTTAGAGAAAAGAAATGCTAAATCCAAAGACAATGATACCTTAGAGTTAATACTATAGGTATGTTTCCTTAGTGAAACAAATGGGACATATTAATATTCACATATCAGAAACACAAATAAAAGGTCAGTAACATAATCAGGAAATAAATGTCTACATTTATATGAATGGTCAAATTATTTATTTCATATCTAATAGAATTAAGTTAATATACCACCTGTCATGTCCAGTGAGAAGCTTAGAAACTGAAGAATGGCATGAGGTACCAATAACCTTAAAATAAGATTTTTTTACAGACCACATAAATTCCTTACCCTAAAACTGCCACTATATATATATATCATAAACAAGTGAATAAAATTCCCATAATCTATGGCCTAAGGAAACAGCTAGGTATGCTAAAGATACCTTCTGAAATGGAACACTAAATTTAAACAAGAGTTTAAATAACTGTTATTTTCATCTATTCAATTAATAAAATATATTTAAATTTACATAATCTTTATTCTTTGTGGTAGGAAATACAAACTCAGAGATATCTGATCCCTGTATCTTAAATAAGTTTATATATATGTTTCATACCCAAAAAATATAAAAAATTTTGTGAATTTATTTGAAAATAGAAAGACAAAATTAAATTCCTAAATGAGAGAACAATGCTTAGAGCACAATTATCTCATTCACTCATTATTTGAGCATCTACCTTACATTAATTATTGTGATAGTGTTTCTTTCTGTGTTTATGCCTTGTTCAGTTTGCCTACAGAAAAATACACAAAGTGGATTCAGTATCTTAATATAAAGTGCAAAACATACCGCAATCTTCCATCTTGGGCAGCTGCTCCCCCTGCAATAATTTTGGTAATGAAAATACTTGAGTCATCTCCAATGTGTGGGTTGTCCGTACCTCCTGCAATGCTGAAGCCAAGCCCTGAATTTCCCTAGGGATAGAGAAAAAAAAACCCAGTGAATAATAATTATCTTTATTGATAGGTTTCTGTCATTATAGGGCCTAGAAACTGTACTAACACAGGGAACAAACTCATAAAGGTACCTATACAGGGAATATGAATATTCTAAATTAAAAAATACAAGGAAAGCCTTTTCTCTCTATGAAGAATTCAGAGGCATTATTGCTGAGTAGGTGAGACTGAAGAACAGGTACTGAGTACACTTTTGGAGTCTAGTCTACGGTTTTTTCTTTATAAGTATTTACAATTTGTCCTTGGATTAATCACCTTTCTGCAAAGGTATCACTACTAGATCTTTTCTTTTAGACTGTACCTCGCTCATGTTGGGTAAGGCAAATGTCTCTAAGAGAAAAACACTGAGATTGTTCTTTTTGTTGCTATTATTTCTGAGTAGGTAAAACTAATATATTATTTTAGTCTTTTAAGAAAGGGGTAGGGGGTGGAGCTTTTCTTCTGCTAACTTTGCCATCAGCTTATTTCATCACTTTGTCAAAGCAGTGCTACTTTTTGCTTGTTTTACATATAGGATTTCTGAATATTTTCTTTGAAAAATGGGTTTTACTGCTATAAGTCTCTAAGGACAATTATTCTAAGCAATGGTATTTTTAAAATGTTTATTTTGCAATTTTCCAACTCTGGCTTTCAGCAATTCAAATAAGCAAACATATCTGGACCTATTATTTAACTGTTAGTATTAAATAGCTTACACAGTCATTCTACTATGATGTGCCCTAAAATCCTATTTAAAAAAAATTTTTTTTTTCAGTCTCAACTCCTCAAGAGTTACTAGAATCTCAGCAATAGTATCAATAGGTTGTGTGAGTTTATCAAGTTATGCAAGTACTCAAGTTCTTTTTTTATTTTCTTTTTAATAAGCTATAATTTACATATACCTGTGTAAGTTTAAGGTGTACAATGTGTTGATTTGATACATTTATATATTGCAATTAATTACCACTGTAGCTTTAGTCAACACCTCTATCATGTCACATAGTTATTATTTATTTTTTGTGGTGATAATGCTTAAAAGCTAGTCTCACAGCAATTCTGAAATACATAAGACAGTATCATTTACTATAATCACTATGCTGTGCATTAGATCTCAGGAACTTATCTTCTAGTTGCAAGTGTGTACCTTTTAATAACATTTTCCCAATTCCCAGTATATTCCGGTTCTTTAATCAGTGAAAATACAATGTAAAGTCCTGACTAAATAAAGGAATTTAAAAGGCATTAGGAAAGAATGAAAAATGAGTAAGATAAAAAATTAAAATTTTATGTCAATTATCTCAATAAGGCTGGGAAAAAACCCAACAACAGAACACCACATTGAAATATGTACAATACATTAATACTATGCTTACTTGAAAGTTAATCAGTCATCTACCTCACTTGAATAGGAGATCCATATTCAGATAGTAGGCAATAAATATCTATTATACATGTAAACGACTCTTTTAAGGTCTATTTTCACTCAGAGTCTATTCTGGATTCAAATATAAGCAAATCTAATTATCTAGGATTTTCATCTTATATACAGGATGGGGTAAAAGTAGGTTTATAGTTGGGAGTATGCAAAACAGAGTTTATTCCTATAATTATTCATTAATCGTTGTATTATTTTCCATACGAACAATTGTAAAATCTACTTTTGCCCCACCCTGTATACTCAGCTACTCAGGAAATTTACTTGTATGGAACACTTCATTTCTCCAAAATGCTAGTCACACAGGGTGGTTTTACTAAAATAAAGCATCAATTAAATGCTGATATCCTTAAGGGGAAAATATAGCAAGAAAATTTATACATCTGAATTATACCCTTAAGGTATTTTTTGACTAGGGGAGTACATAAGTTTTCGATAGGGTCTTGTTAGTTAGAAATATGGTTATTATTTTGCTATGAAAGAATATTGATACAATGACCAGGGTACTAAATACTTACTTAAAATAAATAATATTTTATTATATAAAAAATAAATTTAAAAATTAAATTAAAAATGGAAAAAATCTGAGAAACTGTCAGTCTAAAGGAAACATGGTAAATAAATGTAATGTGGTATCCTGGATGAGATTCTGGAAGAGAAAAACATCAAAACTAAGAAAATCCAATAAAGTGTAGACTTTAGTTAATAATGTATCGATACTGGTTCATTAGTTGAAACAAATGTATTGTAGTAACGTAAGATGTTAACAGCAGGTGAAAATGAGTCCAGGAAAATGGGAACTCTGTATAACATTTCTACAAATCTAAAATTATTTTAAATAAAAAGGTAATTTTAAAAAAGGTTATTAAAGAAAAGCAACATGTTCTGAAAATACCAAGGCTAATTTTATGATATGTAACTCATAAAAGAAATGAATATTACATGGCTCTGTTTTTTGGAAGATCTATTCCCTTGAATTCTATAATGAAAGAGCAGTACTGTATACTTAAAGAGTTCTTTAAAGCAACAGATTTATGCATAAAAACTTAAGATAATTAATAGTTTTTACCCTTTCAAGTGTGATTTCTTCATATTCAAAATCTGCATCAGTGCCATTAACCTAATGGAGGGAAAAAGAAGTAGCACAGAAATTTAGAGTTTAAATTTGAAATGGCAAAACATAATTTTTGCATGATTTATTAATAAAAACCTGTTAAATGTGACAGCAATAAAATAACAGTTTCATTTTAATAATTTTAGGGACATGTTTTAAGGAATGGAAGAGTACAATGTGATTAATGAGTTGACATGGTATTATGATCTTCAAATATGGAATTCAGCTAATTGAATTCTGACTCTTTTCTCTGCACATCTTTTTTTTTTAAATATATTTTCATTGATTTCAGAGAGGAAGGAAAAGGGAGAGAGAGACAGAAACATCAATGATGAGAGAGAATCATTGATCGGCTGCCTCCTGCACACCCCCCACTGGGGATCAAGCCACAACCAGGCATATGCCCTTGACCGAAATCAAACCCAGGAACCTTCAGTCTGCAGGCTGTCGTTCTATCCACTGCGCCAAGCTGGCTAGGGCTCTCTGCACATCTTAATCAATTGCCAATTCTTACTGATTTGAATACTTGTTTTTCTGAAAACCATCACCTTTTACTCTCATTTTTATTACTTTGGTTCAAGCCTTTGTTAATCTCCTCAGGGCTATTGCCAATGTAATCTACCCAATCTCTTAGATTAGTATGTTCTACTGCTCAAATTATTCTGCTTTATGCAGACAGATATTTTTGGAGCCCATCTATCCTATCTAATAATAGAAAAACATGGTAATTAACCGTACCTCCGACACGCTTCCCATGGGCTAATTAGGGCGGTATGCAAATTAACTGCCAACCAAGATGGCGGCCGGCAGCCAGGCAGCTGAAGCGAACAGGAGGCTTGCTTGCTCCAGTGACGGAGGAAGCCAAGGTTCCCCGCCTGCCTTGCCGGCCTCTGAGCTGCTCTCTAAGAAACAATGTTGCAAGTATAGAAGCTAAACAAAACCCCAGAAACCTGCTTTCAGCCAGCCGGACTTCAGCCAGCAGGACCGCAACACTGTTTCAATTATAGAACAAACCCAGATACCTGTTTTCAGCAGCTGAGGTCTCAGAGCTGCAGCCGGGCCTCAGAGCTAAAGCCGGCTCTCAGCTCCAGTGACAGCCATAGAAGGTAAATAAATCCCAGAATAAAAAAGAAAAAGAAAAAAAGGAGAGGTTGGGAGCTTCAGTCTCCCGCCAGCCTGAAAACGGCCCTCAGCCCCTCAACCAGGCTGGCCAGGCACCCAAGCGGGACCCCCACCCTGAAGCAACAAGATGGCGGCTAATTTGCATACTGAAGGCGGGCGGCAGCGGGCAAGGCTGTCCCCGGTCCGGGACCCGGATCTGTGACCCTGCCTGGCGGGGGGCAGCGCGGGAGGCTGTCTGCTGTCCCAGGACCCGGACCCAGATCCGTGACCTGGCAGGCGGGGGGCAGTGCTTGAGGCTGTCCGCGGTCTGGGACCCGGATCTGTGACCCTGCCGGGCGGGGGGCAGTGCTTGAGGCTGTCCGCGGTCTGGGACCCGGATCTGTGACCCTGCCGGGCGGGGGGCAGTGCTTGAGGCTGTCCGCGGTCCCGGGACCCGGATCCATGACCCTTCCAGGCGGGGCGGCAGCTCGCACAGGGGCGGATTGGCCGGGGTTGGGCAGGGCAGGACACCTGGCTTCCGCCCAGCCCCAGTCACTCTGGGCAGGTGAGCAGCACAGAGAGCCTCTAGACAGGGGAGGCAGGCCGGCGGAAGGAGGCCTGTACTCTCCACATGGCGGTGGTGACAGCTGTGAGCGTGCTGAGCTGAAGTAGCACCTGCAGGCCATCAGTGCCCAGGAGTGGCTGCACAAGATCCACCTCCTGGCCCAGAAGGTGCAGGATCGCAGGGACAGCCACCGTGGCGGGTCAGACTGACGTCCTCCTGGCCGCACCATGGGGGTTTGCAGATCTGCAAAGCCAGAGGCCTCCAGTGTGCACATCCCCCTCTGGCATGCGAACATCCCCCAGCACACTGTCACCTTCCCGCGCCTGCAACAGTTGCAAACCAAGGCATACACAAGTTCCCCCCGCCTCTCCACCGCACTTCCATCAACCCAGCATGCCTAACACCCCCACAGGATGTGCACACATCCCCTCTGATGCGCTCATGTCCTTTGGAGAGTGTCTGGGTGTTCTGGGTGCTGAGGGTGGGCGCCTGTGAGATGACAGTGAGAGGGCGGAGTGGTGATGCTCTGTTCCCACGGAGGCCAGTGCAGCTACGAGATCACCTCTGAGGGGTTAATGCAGGTGCTGAGGCAGGAGCAGGTGCAGACAGACACACCTGGTGGGCGCGGGCAGCCCTCGCTGAGGTGCCTTCAGTCAGCGTTCAAGATCAAGAACCCAGAGGCGGAGAGGAATTCCGTCCTCTCAGTGAAACAGTGGGATAGTCGGGGTGACTTTAGAGGAGGAATGTGCACTTTGGGTGCCAGCACCCATGAGCGAAGGCTGCCCTGACTGAGCCTCACTTGCTTGGGGCCTAGCGTACTCCTGCCGGGCAGCGAGTGACAGGACGTGCTTTTCCGAATTAATGAGAAAACGTTGATTCTCCTGCTGCCCACGAAGGTGGAAAGTGAAGTGGGGAGACATGTGGGGAGTGAGCAAGGTTCCCTGTCTGGGGGTTCCCAATCTGCTGTTGGTTTATTTCACCACTGACTAGAGATATACAGGGTGTCCCCCCAAAATTTATACACACTTTGAATACCTACTAATTCCAATGGTTTTAAGCATAAGAAAGAAACAACAATGGAGCTGTTATCTGTTAAAAGTGTGGGCACAAACAGGCAGTTGGACATTCCCTGAGGGATCTCAGATTGGAGAGGGTGCAGGCCAGACTGAGCCCCCCACCCCCACCCCAGTGCACGAATTTCGTGCACCGGGCTACTAGTTTATATATATAAAAGCCTAAGCAACCAATTGACCATTCAACCAGCCAGTAGCTAGGATGCACACTGACCACCGGGGGCAGACGCTCAATACAGGAGCTGTCCCCTGGTGGTCAGCGCGCTCCCACAGTGGGAGCGCTGCTCAGCTGACCAATGGGCTCCAGATACAGGGCTTATGGCTGGTCACCACAGCCTGGAGACCGCAGCAGTGACAGTGAGCCTACCAAGCGGCAGGTGCAGCGGGGCCGGGATGAGCAGGAGCAGGAGTGGCAGGCTGCATTGGACTGCTGGTTTAGGTATGATCCCCGCAGGCCACGCCAAGGGACCCCAATGGTGCATGGGCACTGGGCCTCTAGTGTCTAATAACACATTTCCTCTAGAACTTTCAGAAACTCATACAAAGGTCATATGAACTGACCCCAATCTATCACACAGTTTCATTCTTCACATACATATCTCACCTCTTCATGAGCTTTACATACCATCAAATGTGAATGATTTGCTCTTTCCTTTATATATACTGCAAGTTCCCACCTCTGCATCTGTTACTTTCGTGCTTCCCGTCACACATTTCACGCCCAAATTTGATTTACCATTCAAGTTCTTGCTCACATCTTAGAAACCAAGCACTTTCTCTTATTCCTTCCAATTTATTCCTTATTCCTTCCTGGAAGTAGTAATTCCACAACAAGAGCCACTAGGTGAAGGGTGAATTGTCCTTGGAATCAAATCATTGCTTTAATATTTCTTGTGACACAAGTCTGGGAAAAGTACTAATTCTGATAAGTCAAATAAGGATTGTGATAAACTGCATTTCTCTAGATTCCTACAACCTTCCATCCTACAGGCACTTTTCCAATGTGACTGACCTATCCTATCATCAGGAGATGCTGTCAATTTCCCCTCCCCCTGGATCTAGGCAGATCCTAGAAGAGTTTTGTTTAAAAAGACTGTGGCATAAATGATGTTGTGTAGTTTCTGAGGCTAGCTCATGTGATGCTCTGTAGTGTTTGCATTTGTCTTAGAACAGTGCTTTAGAACCCAGCACCTATAAAGCAAGGATGCCCTAACTGGTTTGGCTCAGTGGATGGAGCGTCAGCCTGCGGACTGAAGGGTCCCAGGTTCAATTCCAGTCAAGGGCATGTACCTTGGTTGCAGGCACATTCCCAATAGGGGGTGTGCAGGAGGCAGCTGATTGATGTTTCTCTCTCATCAATGTTTCTAACTCTCTATCCCTCTCCCTTCCTCTCTGTAAAAAACCAATAAAATATATTTTAAAAATAAATAAATAAAGCGAGGAAGCTCAGCCTATGAGGAGATTCAAATAAAGGAGAATCAAAGCCCTTGACCAAAAGCACCAAGGTGCACTCCGAATCAGCAACGAGCACCAATTGCCAGCCATGTGAATAAGGCTATTCTGGATCTTCCAACCTTTTTAAAAGTCCCAGCCAATACCATGTGAAACAGAACCATCCAGCTAACCCAGAAAATCATGAGCAATAATGAATTGTTGTTTTTTAAGCCACTAAGTTTCTGGTTAGTTTGCTATACAGCAACACAATAATGAAATGACAGAATAATTAAATTATGTAAGCTACTTTACTTTCCTCACAATATTATAAGAAAGTAACCCTTAATCCAAGTCTAATTCAGGGGCTAGCAGTTTTTTCTTAAGGACTTTTGAAACCCATCTCTTCTAATTTTGGGGTTCTTATTTCTTATGGCTGTAAGGGATTAACACCCATTTGTTACTTTCTCTTCTTCCTCCCAAGAGATTTTTTTCTTGCGTTGAGATTATATATTATAAATGCACACATGTGTATGTATAAATTATGATTTCTATGCATCCATACTGCAGTAGGGTTACACATAAAGATCTGCTGACAACTTGACTGAAAGTCATTTTTATGAGTAAAAATAAAATCCATATTAGCAGCTATATCACTTTTTTTATTCTAAAGGTTATTTGTATCACCTTTATTTTTTCTTGCTCAGACTTCCTAAAAGTCTATCAGTCTTTGTCAAAGAAATAGTTTTAACATTACTGATTAATCTATTAAATTTTATGCTATTACTTTCTGCTTTTGTCAATTCTTTATTCTTTCTTTAGACTATTTAAAAAGT